CCAGTCATAAGGGTCAATTTTTCGAAATTGAGATTTATGCGTCATCTGAAAGCGGAATAAATAAGCTTTTCATTGATGTATGGTTTGTTAGGATAGGACAATATTTGGTTGAGATACAACTATTTGAAAATCTGGAATCTGAGGGTGCAAAAAAATCTAAATATTGAGAAAATCGGTTTTAAAGTTGTCCAAATGAAGTTCTTGCAATGCATATTACTAATCAAAAATTAAGTTTACAGTAGGAAATTTACAAAATATCTTCATGGAACATGATCTTTACTTAATATCCTAATGGTTTTTGGCATAAAAGAAAAATCAATCATTTTGATCCATAACGCTACATTTTGCTACAAATATACCCCAGCGACTTAAGACTGCTTTTGTGCTCCAGGCTCACATATATTCCTACTGTAGTATGTATTTTGATGCTTATTCATGCCGCAATGAATATTAATATGAAAACTAATTTAAAAATGTCTATCCCTCACAGAAAACAGACAAAACAGAGAAGGAAGTGTACATTTAAGCAAATAGCATGTAAACAGTTTGGTCCTTGTCTGTAATTTGTGGATCTTAAGTAAAGCATCTTTTGCAAACAGCTACATGTCTATATAATAAGTTGAATATGTATCGAACGGGTTGCATTTATAGGTAGAACTATGGTTCAGTTTTTGGCCCCTGGTTATCGCCCTGAGTGCACTTACTTGAAGGCAGTTGAGGAAGTTTGAGGTAGGCGGTTGAGAGAGGTCTGCCTCTCGTTTTTGGCACTGCTGGAAGAAGCGGTTTAGATGGAGGTCCTGCAAAAACATCCACGGGAATTATGAGATCACAAAATATGAGCAAGATAATGCTACACGGAATGGAGATTGTGGCTCTTTTCAACCTGAGTATAAACTGTAGAAAGCACCGAAGTGGACACTTTGAAGATCGGCTTCCCCCCGTCGACCCACTTCACATCCGAGCCATTCTGCACAGAAACATGCGGGAAAATAAATAAACAAAAAAGAAAAAAAATACTACTATAATCCATCACATGTGAATCATCATTTGTTGCCTTTAGGACTCCTGTTTTGGAACTTTCCATATACTGTATATGTTTTTGTATTATTATTATTATTTTTTTTACAAATACATTTCTAACTTTTATATTTACTTATAATATTATAATGTTATAATATTGGCATGTATTGGCAGGTTTTAGGTTGGATATTCATGCGCATATACTGTAAATCCAAAAATATATATAAGATTAATAAATACTGTAACAAATGTATTGTTCATTGTTATTTCATGTTAGTTAATACATTAACTAAAGTTTACATTAATAAGTTTACCCATATGACAATATATTTCATATATGGAAGGAAGTGTAATATATGCACATATATCACATTTATACATAGGGTTATAAATTATTTTTTAACCCTTATTACAAAGGGAGAATTATAACAAATATAATTTTTGCATTCGCATTTGCGAGAAAAAATCTACAACTTTCCAAAAAATATCAAGAGTTTGGTCACATTGGCCAGAAGAGAGAAAGATGTCAAATATGCAATCATCCCTTCAGTTGTTGTATTAGAAATTAGTTTTCTGTAATTTAATATCAATGCACATTCATTTTTTTTGCTATAGATTTATGATGTTAATAACTTCACTGTCTGAGTTCTGGTTCATGTGACCTATAAAGCTGCCTTCGAATCACTTCTCTGTCTTCATCCTTACTTTACATCATCATCATCATCGTATATCTATTTTCCATTGATGTATGGTTTGTTAGGATCGGACAATATTTGGCCGAGATACAACTATTTGAAAATCTGGAATCTGAGGGTGCAAAAAAATCTAAATATTGAGAAAATCATCTTTAAAGTTGTTCAAATGAAGTTCTTAGCAATGCATATTACTAATCAAACATTAAGTTTTGATATATTTACGGTAGGAGATTTACAAAATATCTTCATGGAACATGATCTTTACTTAACATCCTAATGATTTTTGGCATAAAAGAAAAATCTATAATTTTGACCCATACTGCTACATATTGCTACAAATATACCGTACTGTATATATCTATTTTTTTTTTCTAAACGGTCTGTTTATTTGTTTTTCAGGATTTTTGCGCTCACTTTGGTGGACGAAGGCTCTTTAATGTGTAGATATCCATCAGGCAATGTGCACGAGACTGGAATACTGAAATCCTGAGAGGAAACACGTCCATCCTTCAGAAGAGGCAGCCACGCATAGCCCACTGTAACATAAACACACACACACACACACACAGTCAAAGAACGACTGCACTTCAGCACACACAGCACAGGAGAACGGGGCTTGATGTGCATGCGCAGATACCTGGAGTCTCCAGAGCCTCTTTCTTCTTAGAGCTGGTCTTGGCATTGATGTCACAGGTCACATGATAGAAGGAGAAGAGTAAATGGTGTTTCTCATGAAGATGTGTGGGCAGCTCAATCTTCACCTGATCAAACACATCACGACCAACATTAAAGTACCCATAACTTTCATCTGAACGGAACCTGTGAATGAAGCTGCTAAAGCACTTTTGCAAACCTCATCATAAAAGTCTGGGTTCTGTGAGTGATGCAGAACGGTGGAGCAGGCAGTCGTGGTAAACACCGGACCTCCTGGCTTTCCATAGATGCACTGCAGAAATTGATTTACAGCATTTGTTTTCACGAGTCACATTCTAAAGCAGACGTTGATGGAAACTTGTGTTTATGTAACCTTAAGTGGCTTGGCATGTTCTTCATCAGAGCTTCTGAACTCCACGCAAACGGCAATGTTTCGAGCCTATCAAATAAAACAAGACCAGACACAGCATGACTGTACACGGCATGCTAAAGATCGAAGAGCGGAGAACCGTAAAGAATCCTTCATTAGACCTCCAGCAATTGCAGCACGTTCAGTCTGAAGTTAAAACTGAGTTTTGGTGTAAAATATTTAAGCCAGTATTGCAAAAACTAGTTTCAGCATAACTATGCATAAGCTAAATATTTTCAGAAACCTCTGGGTGATGGCTGCAATAAAATAGTAGATTGATTCGATTCAATCAATAACCTCATGTTTTTTCTGACTTGTTAGTGATCAAATCAATCTAAATGCAGCACTTCCCCTGACCGAATATGCATAATTGCAAATTATATGATTTTAGTGGTGTTTGCTAATACAAGCAGCAGTACTACTGTACAATGGCTTATGCTTAGGGTTTTTTTTCTTTCATTTTTGCAATCACACTTGTTGAGAAAACTGTCAACACAGCATGATGCATTAAGATTTTTTGATTCTCCCAACTATTAAACTCTTCCCTAAATGCAAAATATCTCATTAAGCCAATAAATTCACCAAGGCAATCACAGCTTATTTTCAATTAGTAACACAATAAACTGATCTATTATTTTGGTAACCATATTTTATAGGACACCTAATACGATATCTTAGTTTCCGAAGGAACAATCGCCGTACAAAGGGAAGATATAAGTTTTAGAAGCTTGTACATAGACCTTGACACACAAACCTCAAGAACGGTGACAGTCAGCAAATGTAAAAAGACACAACAGATAACCAACAATAATGACGAAACAACAACAGACGTTTAGAAAAAAGTCAGCAAATAGTATAACAGTAACCGCATCATTTCTTCATGCTGTAACGCATGCTGGGAACTCACAAATCCTTAATATTTCAGCAATATTGTGCGATAAATTTGACATTTTGGTTTAGTTTGGGGAACATTTCTCACTGTGAACTAACTATTAACTGTGACTTCTGCCTTAATAAACTCCTAATGTGCTGCTTATTGATAGTTAGTAAGGTAGTAGTTAAGTTTAGGTATGGGGTTTAGGATTAAGAGATCATGCAGAATAAGACATTAATATGTGCTTTATAAGTACTAATAAACAGCCAATATGTTAATAGTTAATAGTGAGAATTGGTCCCTAAACTAATGTGTTACTGAAATTCTTTATTCAGACAGCCTTGTTTGTCTAGTTGGGACAGCATTTGGTACAGATTTAAGATTGAATTCACATTTCGCAGTATTTGCGACTGGAAAGGTCCGGTGTGTATGTGGCTTCCTCACCTTTGTGAAGCTCTTCTGGCTGTCATACTTGAGGTGCTTGGGGTAGATGTAGATGTGATTCTTGTAGACTCTGTAAGGCTGAGCAAACTTAGAAGAGTCCTGCAGGAACTCGTCCACCTCCACCGTCGGAGCGTGAAGAGCGCAGTCCTGGAACGGCCTCAGAGCCACACACGAGGACGTCACACAGTCTGAGGAACATGTGCATGCATGCAGGTGAGTGTGACCAATAACATTCAGGAGCAAAACTGCGTTTAAAGGGTGTGAGGACGTTTGCTGTATTAGACGTACTGGGACATTCCATGGGAACACAGTCCACGTTTATTTCAAGGTTTCCAGGGATGATCTGGAGTTTACTGGCCTTCTCTGCCCTGTAAAAAACACTTGATTTTACTGAGGTCATTTATGATCACGTGTGCTTCGTGAGCGTGACTGCAGAGTCTGTACCTCCTGTACTCTGTGATGAGCTTGATGAGGTCTTCTGTGGAAATCTTGTTGCTCTCCTGTTTGAAGAGCGGAGAGAAGCGACTTTCCCGGTCCACTGTGCCCTGGTTGTCCTTAAATACTGACCTGGATTACACAGACGGAAGAAATGTTATTAAAGGGGTCATATGATGCGATTTCAATTTCTCCTTTCTCTTTGGAGTGTTACAAGCTCTTGGTGCATAAAGAAGATCTGTAAAGTTGCAAAGACTAAAGTCTCAAATCCAAAGAGATATTCTTTATAAAAGTTAAGAGTCAGCCACGCCTACCTAAAACGGCTCGTTCTAACACGCCCCCACATGTCTACGTCACTATGTGGGAAGATTTGCATAACGGCGCCCAAATATTCACGCAGAGAAAGAAGGCGTGACTTTTATTCTCGCTGTAGTATTGTTGCCGCCGCCGCCATGTCGTGAAGACGCTGTGTGTTTCGCTGCGAAAGCAAAACTACTTTATTTAGTCTTCCAAAAGAGGACGATATCGCTTCGTCATGCCTAGAGCTGATCCGTGCTGGTTGCTGAGGAAATACAACAACTTCACTGTGGATCACCAGATCGGCTTTCACCGTGGACGAAGCGGAGTCCAGCCCGGGGTCGTCACATGTGGTTGCCGCAGGCATCACAGTATGGTGAGGGGCGTAACATTTCCGTCACATGCTTGAGGTATTCGGCCAATCACAACGCACTGGATAGCTGGCCAATCAGAGCACACCACGCTTTTCAGAACGATGAGCTTTGTAAAAATCAACGCTTTTCAGAAAGGCGGGGCATAGAGGAGAAACAATAATGAACAGTATGTGGAAAATAATGTGTTTTTTGAACCTTAAACCGCATAAACACATTTCATTACACCAAATACACAAAATAATGTTATTTTTAGCAGCATCATATGACCCCTTTAATAATCTTCTAATAGCGCAAGTGCTTGTTGTTGAGCATTTGTTGTGGCAAAGCTGAAGTACCAGGGAATGGATTGGGATTCACTCACCTTACAGACCAGGCAAAAGGCATTCGGTACTTTCCAAGTTTGCTACAGAATTGCTTGTTGGATTTCAGCATCTTTTGGACAGTCTGGAACAAGCAGAGAACGGGATTTCAATGTATTTGAGGGAACAAAATGAATGAGGAAATCTCCACTTACTACAAGACTTAGATCACAGAGTATTTGTGCTTAAAGCAATATTCTGTGTATTTATCCTTTTGCCACACATAAAACTATCTAAACGGCATTACTTTGAGGCATTTAGTGACAACCAAGAGACATTTGCAAGCAAGTGCCCCAGTGCACAACATAAAATATTTTCACCCGAGATATAATATTATTTGAACATGTATTTTTAATATTCTAAGACCATTAAAATGTTGTAATTAGAACATTATTTAAAGGTCACAAAAACATTTCTTCCAAAGTTCTAAGAACTTTATTTTTTACATAATATAACATTACTTGAACGTTTATTTTTAATATTCTAAAAACATTCAAATGTCGTTTTTTGTTGTTGTCATGATTAGAACGTCAGTTAAGGGTTACAAAAACATTTCTCATATTTGTTTTTCACCTAAAATGTTATTTGTACATTTATTTTTAATAACAAGGTCTATTGTTGTGGTTAGAATGGCATTTCAAGGTTACTAAAACATTGTTCTGCTAATTTTATTTGTATCCAAAATATAACATTATTTTAACATTTATTTGTAATATTCTAAAAACGTTTTCTCTCAACATAAAGAACATTCATCAAGTACAAAAAGCATCTTATAAAGCGGAGCGTTCCGGTGCTTGATTCTGATTGGCTTTATTTGCTCTGTTTTATTTTGTGAAACCTTACTACGTATATGGAATAACCGTTTTATAAAAGCAATAACCCCCGTGAAGCCGTGGTTTACAGTGAATTTATAACAGCTCCGCTTCGCGTCGTGCCTAACAGCGCCCCGTAGCTGTTATAAATTCACTGTAAACCACGGCTTCACGGGGGTTATTGCTTTAATAAGGACCTTCTGAGAATGTTGATCTCAGAACGTTTTCTCGTTATAAGGACATTCACTGATCAAGTAAAAATAACGGCATGTGGACGTTCAAAGAATGTTGTTCTAAGAATGTTTTCTCTCAAAGTTATGAGAACATAGCTAACATTACTAAGAATGTTTTGTCCTAACATTTATATAACGTTAGTGAGAACGTTCCCTGTTAGCTGGGATAGCTGAAATTGCGGGATCAACTCCATATTAATGTCTACTGTATGTAACTGTATGTAATATTTAGAATGCAATGCAATTAAAGTTTCTGTTGGTGTCCATATACTTGTGTCCAAATATATATGTGTATATATACACACATTACATAACCTTTATGCATTTAGCAGATGTATTTATTCAAACAGCAGACAATCGTTTAAATGAAATACCTTGCTGGAATCTGTGTTTTTAATGTAGGGTTCTGCACCGCTGGAAATATTTCCCATCAGCACTTTCTCCACGCGTGCCACCATCACGATGTCTGTGTGCGGGTTTGTGATGGAAAAGATCGCCTGCAGGAACGATCAACCATATAAACCACATAAACACATAGTGACACTGGCTGTGAAAGCACATCTCCGCATTCAAGGGCTCCTGCGCTGTTACCTGACTGGTGAAGTGCAGCCAGTTCTCCAGCTCTGGGCTCAACTGGCAGTCCTCGCTTTTCTTCTCTGCAGGCGAGCTGAGGCCATTTTCCTGCGGAGCACCATCCGAGCCTTGATCTCCTTCACTACCAGAGCTACTGAGCATCTGCCGCACAACCTCGTGGTTTAGGTCCATGTGGAAGTCAGCGGAAACCTTCCTGCCCTCACGGATGTCCAGCAGAGAAACCGACACGAAGAAAGGCTCGATCTGAGGAGAGACAGCAGTGCTTTAGCATGCATATATGCAGATTAATAAATGATACACTACATACGGCTGAGTCTATATGTTTGAGCACCCTATTTGTCTACTAGTTTATAAAGCTTTTTGCAGAATTGGCAGAAATGAGCTGAATAAATAATCTTTCCATTGATGTATGGTTTGTTAGGATAGGAATATATTTGGCTGAGATATAACTATTAGAAAATCTGGAATCGGAGCGTGCAAAAAATCTAAATATTGAGAAAATCATCTTTAAAGTTGTCCAAATGAAGTTCTTAGCAATGCATATTACTAATCAAACATTAAGTCTTGATATATTTACAGTAGGACATTTACAAAATATCTTCACGGAACATGATCTTTACTTAATATCCTAATGATTTTTGGCATAAAAGAGAAATGTATAATTGTGACCCATACAATGTATTGTTGGCTATTGCTACAAATATCCCCCAGCGACTCAACACTGCTTCTGTGCTGCAGGGTCACATATATATAGTGTATATATTATTTAAATCAGAGTAGTACACTGCAAAAATAATTTTCTTACTATTTTTACTTATTTTGTTTTTGTCTTTTCCGTTACAAATTCTTAAATCATGATACATTTACATAAGAAAGCAAAATGACTTAAGATATTAATTCTTGTTTATTAAAATTAAGCGTATACTTAAACAAGAAAAAAAAACATCTGTACATGTGGAAAGAAAAATTTAAAATAAACTTTTTTCTTTTCTTTTTCTTACCCCAAGTTTTTTTTTCTTGTTTTAAGCATAAACTCACTAACGGTATATATTTTTCAGAAAGCAAGTCTTAATATCTTTTGCTTCTCAAGGAAATGCATCATGATTTAAGAATGTTTAGATATTTGAAATTGAAAAAAAAAAAATACACTATTTTTGTAGTGTCTTAAATATTAAAAACAAATGCAATTTTAATGATACCTCTTCTTTTGAATGATAAAGCATATTTGTCACTCTTATTTTATCTGCCGGTGAACTTGCTGTTGTGATAAAGGACATGAGATCGTACATTAGTCACTGGCTCAGCGTCGGTCTCGTTGACGCAGCCCTGCAGTGAGAGGTTGAGCGAGCGGCAGGAGATCATCAGTCTCTTCCCGAGTTTCTCCTCGAACGGCTGGACAGAAGCAGACTCCATCCTGGGACTCCTCAAAACCTTCAACACAAAGCATGCGTTTCTCACACACCAAAATAACAGCCACAATGAAACTTCCTTTGCAAAACCCCCAAACAATGCAGTTGATACCCAGCCGCTGTAAATCACACACGGCTGGCGGTGAGACGTACAGGAATATCAGGATCCAGAGAGAACAGGTTGAGTCTTTCCTCTCCTCTGGCAGCTCTCGCTGATTCCTCGGTCTCAGAAATATACTGAAACATTACAACATCAGCGTTAATTATGAGCAATGCTCTAATGACAAACCATTAATCACAGGGTTATGTCTTTAAATGTTGGGCTTGAGGTGTTTTTAAGATTCTAAACCGTAAAAGAGTGAATCACTCATTGAAAGGATCGCAAACTGCATTTTTTATTTTATATAGTGTTTCTTTACCCATATGGCAAAAATATATATTGTTTTGTGGACAAAATGCATTTGAAGTATATGCTAAATATATGCTGCAAACTGTGAAGCTCGATTAAATATATTTTTGATGCAGAAAATATATTTATTTTCAACCTTCATATACCAAAATATATTTCTAAATGGCAAGAAAATTAATTTCAGTAGCTTATGTTTAAGATAAATACAAATGTTGATGGCCTACTAGAGATCAAAAGTAGATTAATAATGGTTAATCTAATCAAATATATAAATGCATTTTCTTGGACTGAAATATATAGACGTCAAAATACATTTTTGTATGCTTTTCAATTAATATATTTATACATTTAAAAAAATATATTGGTAGAAAATATATTTACATAAATATGCTTTGAGACATCTTTTAGCAAATATATTTTTGGCCATTTGTTTGTATATTTTTGAAAATATATGTTTAAATATGTAAACATATTTTCAAAATAAACAAACAAACAAATAAATAAATAAATATATATATATATATAAAAATGGCCAAAAAAATTATTAGTAGAAAATTTGCACAAATAGATTATGAAACATATTTTAGCAAATACATGTTTTACCTTTTTTTTGTATATTTTGTATGTTTTGAAAATATATATTTTTTTCTGTATGGAGCACTTATTTCATTATATATATATGATGGTACTATCATCATTTTTACACCCAAAACCATCAACATTTTTAAATAAAAGTATAAACAAACAAACAAATAAATAAATAAATATATATATATATATAAAAATGGCCAAAAAAATTATTAGTAGAAAATTTGCACAAATAGATTATGAAACATATTTTAGCAAATACATTTTTTACCTTTTTTTTGTATATTTTGTATGTTTTGAAAATATATATATTTTTCTGTATGGAGCACTTATTTCATTATATATATATGATGGTACTAGCATCATTTTTACACCCAAAACCATCAACATTTTTAAATAAAAGTCATTTTTCTACACTCTAAAAAATGCTGGGTTGTTTCAACCCAACTTTGGGTCAAATATGGACTAACCCAACCGTTCGGTTAAATTTTTACATTACATTTTTAACCCAAAAGTTGGGTTAGTCCATATTTGACCCAAAGTTGGGTTGAAACAACCCAGCATTTTTTAGTGTACCCCGATTTTAGCCCTCTGATTTTAAACACACGGTTTATTTAAGACTTTAATGTAAACGCCTGCAGCCTGAAAGACTGATTTACACAGACATTAGTTTCATGAATCAAGGCCATTTCCCTTTTTCAGAGAAAGGGTGTAATGATGGTGTGTCTAGGATGTAACCCGACAGAACTACAAAGCATTACCTTGGCCAGTTCAGGGTGGATGCCGTTTTCAGTCGTTTCCTCGTGTTTTTGAACAGGGACATGATTCGATGACACATCAGTGATCTCTAAAACAACAACAACAAGGAAACACTTTAGCTAAAAATGCAATGAACAGATGCACAATGCAAGCATGCAGTGATCTTCACACTTGCCACTAATTGTGTAGTGGATTTTGGTCACACTTCATGTGTGTCCGATGAGCCTCAGGGCACCAGCCCAGGAATTTAACCTTAACAGTATGAGAAGGATCCAAAAGCAAACCAGTATCAGTTACTTAGTTCATCTTACTTTATTTGTCCTCGTAGGAAAACGTAGGAATGTTCACAGACATTAGTCATAGTTTTTGCATTTTCATGTGAATTCATGTAAACTTATCATTGAGTAATACAGTATCAATCCTTAAAATATGTTGCGTCAGTCTCTTTGCGAGGCTCTTATTTTGTAAAAGGGCAAATGACAAAGAGAACCGTGGATCTTATAGGCCTCGTTGAACGTAAAGCTAAAGTTGCTTTCCAAAATTTTTGCGCTACAGATGGAGAAAATAACAAAGATGTTAAGATATACCATGCCGGTGCACTCCTAGGACTTATGAATGCGAGAAAGTGCAAGCAATATGGCAGAACAGTCCCGCCTTCTGAATAAAAGAGCCAATCACTAAAGTCATTGCATCACTGGAGTCTCCGGCTGCTATAGAAACAGTCAGTGTTCTCTGAGACGCGCGCTCAGAACTGGTTGGAAAATAACACTATTTGAGCATAAGAAACAACATTAATGAGACAGTGGATGTCAGATTTCATTGGTGATTTCAAGCATGCAATTTAATCGTAAGCTTGGTGAACAGTTTTGGAGAATTGAAAGTTTCCTCATTCCCCACGCATGCCCGAGAAGTGTTTCAAAGAGGGCTGCTGAGTGAAGGGACTTGTCTTAAAGGGACTTTGAAAATACTTCCTTCTATCATTAATGGAGGCCAAACAGGTTTCATCACGGGTAGTCACAATATTACGCCTGCTTCACACATGATCCGCTCGCAGCACGTCTGCAGTATGTTTTGCGGTCCAGAAGCAGCACACGCTCACTGTGCTTTCACATAAGATGTGTTCACAGCGCGCTACTGATCCGCGAGCATGAGCAAGTGTGAGAAAAGCTGTTCTCTGACCACCAGCATAATAAAATGCTTCATATTTACTATCCTTGTAATTCTTTACTCTCTACATTTAAGTTGGAAGTTTCTTCACAACGCACATTCTGTAATTCTAATTTGGAAACAATATCACACTTCTTTTTTGGAATGTGATCACGCGAAGGATTTTTGGAAAGAAATATCTTGGCTTGTTTTCTCTGCTTACAACAAACTTTCTAGTTTTGAAATAATTAATGTACTATTTTTGATTTGGGATCAAAGGAGCTGGATGATGTGTTCAAACTGTTAACTCTCTGTGGCTTATTTCATCTTCACAAATGTAAAGTTATTGATTGTATGCCCGATTTTAGGATCTCTCTCTGCTCATCTCTCAATAAGAAAGCTGCTAAAACAACTGTATTGATGAAAAAAATAATGACTTCGATGTAAAGGTAACCTAATTATTCTTTGAAGTTGACATTTTTGTGTAATTATTAATTTGAGTTATTTTTCTGATTATATATATAATTATTATTATTATTTAGGTACTAAATGTGTTTTGCATTTTGGTTGTGTATTCATTTTATTGCTTTACATCAATCTGATGCACATAGTTGTTTTTATATATATATATATATTTGTGTTTGTATATAAAAAAAGACCACCAGCCTGTAAAGTAATTGTCACTTTTTGCATAGATGCAGGTGTCAGCCTCTCCCTCACACAATATCCACATCCTGTGTGATGTATTTCACAAAAAACAATCACTATAAACATAATTTTGACCGCATGAATTATGTTTGCAATTCCTTGGAAGTGTTTCAGTTTTCTTTGCTTTATCATGGATTTAAAGTAATAAGATGACCGTGAAAAACTACATGCATTTACGGTAAAATTACTACATTATCACTTTAATCCATGTTCGTTTGTTTGACCATGAACAATGCGCTATCGCTTTAATTCAGTGCATGCAGCACAGCAAAAACAGACTCTGAGCGGAAATTATTATTGCACTGATCCTGCAATGCATTTATTGCACCGCTTGTTTTCCCTAGACTTTCACTCAGGAGGGACAATACAATGATTTGACTGAACACACACACGAAATAACGTACAGCATTCCTTCTGTACTTCAGCGCTTCGTACTTTCCAAGCACCCACCGTGTTTGCTGTCACTCAGGTCCGCGCTCTTGCGATCCAGAGCCGGGCCGTCCGGAGGGCTGATCTGCAGGATGCGTGTGAGAGTGTTGATCCAATCATCCATGTCTTGCTCGTTCTCGGCAGCCAGGACAAAATATGTCACTTCGATCATTTTCAACTCAAAGGCGTGTTTCCTCAGGCGGTTATTCTGTATGAAACCCAGTTAAAACCATAATAAATCTCAGTCATCGGTCATCTCATTGTTAATGTTTGCTGAACCGCTTTAAAAACATATATTTACCGACCTGAACCACCCCGGTGCACGAGTCCAGAAATATACAGCCTTTAGGTTCCTTTGATATCTTCTCATCTTTATAGAAGTTCATGATGTAAGAGTTGTCAGTTAGCTGAGTCAACTGAAAATATCTTCGCTTGAAGGACTGTCAAAAAAGGAAAAGTCAAAATCAAGCAACAGGCAATCAGCAATATTTTTCACTCAAATAATTCTGCTGATAATATGAATTTGTAATGACAGAATGAAAGCATCAGTGCAATTATGCAAGTATACTCAGGCCATCCAAGAGTAGGATGAGTTTGTTTCTTCATCAGGTTTGGAGAAATGTAGCACTGCATCAGCGTCTCATCAATGGATGCTCTGCAGTGAATGGGTGCCGTCAGAATGAGAGTCCAAACAGCTGATAAAAACATCACAATAATCCACAGCACTCCAGTCCATCAGTTAACATCTGGAGAAGACAAAAGCTGAAACAAATCCATCACTAAGACGTTTTTAACTTCAAACTGTTGCTTTCGGCTAAAATATGAGTCTATAATCCTTAATAACGCAGTGAAAAAGTCAGTCTCCTGTTGTCTCTCACATCAAAATCCAGCCACATATGTGTTTAGAGCTGTTTAAACGCTGCTTGATCTGTGCAGATTTCTCTCTTGATTTACACCAGAACACTTTTTCACGTTATGGGCTCATATTTTAGCCAGAAGCAAAGGTTTAAAAGGTAAAACGTCTTAATGCTGGATGTGTTTCAGCTTTTGTCTTCTCCAGATGTTCACTGATGGACTGGAGTGCTGTGGATTATTGTGCTGTTTTTATCAGCTGTTTGGACTCTCATTCTGACGGCACCCATTCACTGCAGAGCATGCATTGCTGAGACACTGATGCAGTGCTGCATTTCTACAAACCTGATGAAGAAACAAACCTATTTATGTCTTGGCTGGCTTGAGGGTGAGAGCATTTTCAGCTAATTTTCATTTTTGAGTGAACTTTTATTTGAAGCGAACCCCCAATCTAGTATTTTTTTCTCTCTGACATACACATAAAATCATCACACATTCACAAAGCACTAGTCAAAGTGTTAGCACATTGTATGTAAAATGTGATGAGACGTTTAATAATGGCCATAATGGCATCTGTTAAATGCAGATATTTGCGAGGGTGTGGGAAAGACAGCTGCTGACATGCACTCACCCGGACGGTGATACTGTTGTTGACAGTGCTGTTAAAGTTGCCTTTATAGAGCCAGCCGGACTTAAACACCCCGATTCCCCCTGCACCTCCACTCCCTGCTCCACCTCCTCCTTTAGATGATGACAGAGAAGTTGTGTCCTACAAAATAAATAAAAAAGTAGCTTATAAAGCGAGTTTGAGTTGCTTATAAAGTGTATTTGGGAATTTAACACACTCCAGGTTCACGCCACTTCCACATTTACATAATTTCCAAAATTGTTATGGCCATATGAACCTTTCTGTAAATTCAGCTTGATGCACCGGACTGACCTCATCTTTGTCCACATCTTCATGGTCGATCTCAAAGGAGTGAGAGGGCAACTTCTCTGATTTACACAGCTTCCTATCGGGGAAGAAGAATTACAGAGAGAGCCATCCACTATGATTAGGAAGAGAAAAGCAGGAAAGAGAAAGCATCTTCACTTCCACACTGTAAAAAATGGTATGAGCTATCTACTATAAAAACATTATGGTGACAATATCACACGTAATATGTTGGAGTAGTTTTTAAAGGGATAGTTCACCCAAAAATGAAAATGTGATGTTTATCTGTTTACCCACAGGTCATCCAAGATGCAGGTGACTTTGTTTCTTCAGTAGAACACAAATTAAGATTTTTAACTTTAACCGTTGCAGTCTGTCAGTCTTATAATGCATAGCAATGGTAACAAAATCTATGAGAGTAAAAAAAACATGCACAGACGAATCCAAATTAAACCCTGCGGCTCGTGACGACACATTGCTGTCCTAAGACACGGAACGATCGGTTTGTGCCAGAAACCCAACAGTATTTATATCATTTTTTACCTCTAATAAAAATTTGCCCCCATTTGTCATGAGCTGAACTCAGAGATCTAAGACTTTTTCTATGTACACAAAAGGCCTATTTCTCTCAAATATTGTTCACAAATCTGTCTAAATCTGTGTTAGTGAGCTTATCCGGATTGTTCAAACTGACTTAAAACTAAAAGATTACATTCTCTCGCGTGAACTCATTCAGGGGTGGTGACTTTCCACGTATTCCCAGCTTCTGAGCCTGCTCACCTGAAGTTATGGTTGATTGCTCTTCGGCTGGATATCAACACACACATTAACGTAAACTACGCCAGAGCGCGTACACACCTTGGAGTAGACAGTTGGACATAGTGCTGTATTAGAGGTAAAAAAATGATATAAATACTGTTCGGTTTCTCGCACAAACTGATCGTTTCGTGTCTTAGGACATCAATGTGTCGTCACAAGCCGCAGGGTTTAATTTGGATTTGTCTGTGCATGTTTTTTTTACTCTCATAGATTTTGTTTCCATTGCTATGCATTATAAGACTGACAGACTGCAGTGGTTAAAGTTAAAAATCATAATTTGTGTTCTACTGAAGAAACAAAGTCACCTACATCTTGGATGCCCTGTGGGTAAGCAGATAAACATCACATTTTCATTTTTGGGTGAACTATCCCTTTAAGGCTTGATTTTTTTAAATGGAATCTACCTGAATAAATCATGTCAAATCTCCTAAATTATTTAATCTATGACACAAATGATTTGATGATATTATTGAAATGTGCTCATTTATTTTAAGTTGATTCTCAAAAATCTGTAATTTTGAGTAAGGTCTGTTTGTATTTGACGTTGAGTTATTAAAAGACTGTATACTGCGAGACAAGTCAAGTAAGACAAAACTTTACTACACTAGCATTAGCAAAGCTACTGCTGATTAAACAAAGCATCATGCCTCATGCAGTTATCCATAACCATAAGCTCTACTCTTCTGCTCAATAATAACAATAGAACCTTCAACATAACAGAAACATAACTGAACGTTAAAGATTAATAGATGCTTCCCTTTACTCAAAAACACATAAAGTAGCACTTAATATTTACAATATTTACTCTTCATATCCAGCCATAGGCAAAGCATGCTGGGAACTAACAATCACTGCCAAAACAAAACCGCAAAATGGAGCTGATTATCTTAAAATAAATAGGTAACCTTCTTTCCTTCTTTATTTATTTTTTCAGTTTAATCAGTTCCTAAATTCAAGCCTTAAAACTGCTTACGCATCCTTTAAAAAAAAAAAATCAGGAAAACATATCTCTTGGTTTTATTGTTGAAAAGTTCTACAACACTGAACCACAATTTCTTTAATAAAATATACTCACTATTTTTAATTTTCACCTTAATTTTTAAATTAAAAATGACAAGACCCATGATTCATTTTTTACATGGTTTTGGATATGTGGTGTTGCTGATGTAGCGTTATTATGTTTAATGAATAATATTCATTTGTATATTATTTACAGCAAAGAAAAGGACTTGTAAAACAGTTAATGATAATACTGTCACATTCTGACATTTTCAGGGATGCATACATTTTATTCTTAATATACACATCATATATCACATCATATATATATATATATACACACACACTGAACAAAATTATAAACGCAACACTTTTGTTTTTGCCCCCATTTGTCATGAGCTGAACTCAAAGATCTAAGACTTTTTCTATGTACACAAAAGGCCTATTTATCTCAAATATTGTTCACAAATCTGTCTAAATCTGTGTTAGTGAGCACTTCTCCTTTGCCGAGATAATCCATCCACCTCACAGGTGTGGCATATCAAGATGCTGATTAGACAGCATGATTATTGCACAGGTGTATATATAAGATATATATATATCACATCATATCTTTAAAAAAAAAAATGTATATATATATATATTTCAAAAGAGACGTTTCATGAATCACTACTTCCATTCAACCACAAAAACAAGGTCCGTCACAAGGCCATTTTAAATACACACAAGCCAGTCTAAAATGCAGTTTAAAAAAAAAAAAGAAAAGAAAAAAACCCTCCAGCATCAGTGTGCCGATAAATCCTCCTCTCCTATTCAACGAGGTCGTATTTTCCACATCATGTGGTGTTTTCACTCCTTTCAGTACAGGACCTCACATACAGGTGTCCTTTCTGCTGCCTGCCTGAGCGCTCTTGTGAAGCAGAGCTCTTTGTGTCTGTCCTGGATGCTAGAGACAGTGTGGCAGTTTATCCAGCACAAATACACACCGCACGCAGCTTCTGTCGACTTACACTCTCTGCTCTTTAACATGGTGTATACAAGCCCAGTTCACAGCACCAGTGACTTTGTCCCTGCATGCCGCTAGTCTCTCTGGGTGTTTTCTAGTGCTGCTGTTGTTACACTGCACATCTGGACATATACAAATGCGATCACAGGTAATATGTGACCCTGCAGCACAAAAGCAGTGTTAAGTCGCTGGGGTATATTTGTAGCAATAGCCAACAATACATTGTATGGGTCACAATTATACATTTTTCTTTTATGCCAAAAACCATTAGGATATTAAGTAAAGATTATGTTCCATTAAGATATTTTGTAAATTTCCTACTGTAAATACGTTAAAACTTAGTTTTTGATTAGTAATATGCATTGCTAAGAACTTCATTTGAACAACTTTAAAGATGATTTTCTCAATATTTAGATTTTTTAGCACCCTCAGATTCCAGATTTTCAAATAGTTGTATCTCAGCCAAATATTGTCCTATCCTAACAAATCGTACATCAATGGAAAGCTTATTTATCCAGCTTTCAGAAGATGTATAAATCTCAATTTCGAAAAATTGACCCTTATGACTGGTTTTGTGGTCCAGGGTCACAATATATGGCAGGTAAAACTAAGATATCATTCTAATTTGACAAGGAATTAGATTTTTTGTCACTAAAAAGCAACTTTCTGCTGCTGAAGAGTGTTGTTCTAAACTACAGCAGTGTGCATTAAACCTGATGATCTGTCAATACACAACTTAAACTCACTCATACTGCCAACAATTTCCAAAAACATCATAAATATGGCTCTTCGTAAGAGCCTTATGTTTTTTGATGTGGAATAAATCATTATGTGGATTAAGCATTAATCAAATAATTATGTCAAATAATAATAAAAGCAACAAATATATACTGATACAGTCTTCATTTGCATTAAGCTAAACATTTCTCAACTTTCTCGTGTTGCTGGACTCACTGCAAGTCGCCAGCTTCGACCGAATAGGATCACACTGTTTAGTCTCAGCGTTTCACCGGTGGTGTGAACATGGCTATATATATGTTAAAAACAGGCTTCTGAGACATCACAAAGGATCAGAGACAAAGAGACAGCCTATCTACAAATCACCATTGGGCAGCGTCTCGCCCAATCAAGCAAGGCACCGGTTTTTGAATTATTAAATTCGATTTTTTTTCATTAAAATCCTCATCATTGACACAAAAGTGAAGTTGTACCTGGGCAGCGTGCGGTAGTCCGCTGCATACTCCTCATATTTATACTGGATCACATGCAGCTGGGAGTTATAATATTGACAGGCCTATAGAGAAGAAATAAAAACTATTAGAGCTAAATGACAAAAACATCCACTCCGATTCAAAAGGCCCTACAGAGTGTTAAGTGCAGCTAAACATTTTCTAAAACAGCAAACAAATAAGCAAAAACACAATCGTTTTGAATCCTCCCATCTGACACATGAACAAGTCCATCATGTTAATGTTCGATATCATTGTAAGCAGTTTAGAGGTCCTGCACCCAATCATGGCCGTTTATAAAAGCTTGCGCAAACCATGAACAAAAGCACATCACAAAAATGCACCTCAGACTACATTATTTTTCTACTCTACACAGTTTTAGTACTGCGTCAAGTTCTTTAAAAACAACCAGTTCAGAAGCACTACTGAACCTATAAAGCTCAAACATGCGTGAAAGTTTTGGTGCTTCAATAAATGCACATAAATCATGAGATAATACTAAAATTGAACACAGGTATTAGTAAGGTTCTGAACGACTTAAAGGTGAGTATATGACAATCTTCATTTCTGGCTGATTAAAAAATAATCAAAACCAAACTAAGTACTGTGTTAAGGGTCCGAATATTTAATGTAATATGATATTTCATTTTTAGTTCTTTTCCAAAGTTATAATAAATCTGCTTTTTTTTTTTTTTGCTTTGTCATTATATGGTAATGAGTGTAGACTGATGTGAGCAAAGCATAAAACCAGTTCATGCTGGTAATGACACAGTAATAACTAGGTCACTTTTTATTTATCTAGGTCACTTGTTATTTAGTCTTGTGGACTACATATAAACATCGGTCAGGTGAAATAGCTTATTCAGGGCAGTACTATAAACATGGTCAGACTGAATAAGGTGTCATTTTAATGTGGTAATATCTGGATTAGTTTATGGCTTCTGGCTTCCCACAGTCATGGGCAACCTAGAAATATCAAGGAAGTTTGCATACTCCATATACAGGGGTTGGGCAATGATACTGAAACACTGGCCAACAGAGTGTTGGAGGTTTCGCGTCTACATATATGCACGGCCAAACTTCACTGATTTCACATTGCATCAGTGACTTGACTGACTTGAGCCACTTTGGGGTGTTTTGGAGGAGCGGGTCAGGAAACGTTTCCTCCACCAGCATCATGTACAGGACTTCTATCTGTCATTCCCAGTGTCGGGGAAAGTTACTTTTAAAAGTAATGCATTACAATATCGCGTTACTCCATAAAAAAAGTAACTAATTACGGTACTTAGTTACTTTTTATGGAAAGTAATGTGTTACGTTACTTTTGTGTTACTTTTTAAATCAGGACAGGACTTGCTTGTTTGTTTTTAATATAAAAAAGTTATATTTTTGGCAAATATAAAAGTATTTTCACACCAAAAGTGAAATGAATAAGCCTCAGGCTGAAGGGAAAGTAACTTTACGTCCGTACAGTAGAATGCAGAAGAAGACATTTCAACACACTTCAGCAACAAACAAAAGACATAAATGTTCGTCTAGAGTAATTTGTGCTTATTAGTACGGTTGAACTGGATCATCGAAGCTCAGAAGCAAAGTTAATAGAGTATTGGTTATTAGAATGGGATTAAATACATAAAGGATATTTGTGTTGTTTAACATTTAATTATTGCAGGTTTGCGTCATATTCTGAGTTGCATTATTTTTATTCATTTTGAGGAATACTGAATCTGTGTGTTTTTGTTTTTTTGTGTGAGTGAGATGAATGGATGCATATTCATATTTATTTTAGAGCTACAGTAACATCTGATTTCTCTCAACATGGGGACACCAGAGCTGTCAATCAATACAAAGTAACTCAGATATTCTCTTGTCAATTAAAAAGTAATGCGTTACTTTACTAGTTACTTGAAAAAAGTAATCTGATTACGTTACTTGTAATGCGTTACCCCCAACACTGGACATTCCCAAGGACGGACCGATGCCAAAGGAGGCCCTACAGCATACTAATAAACAACTGTATATTGTTTTCTCAGTGAATTCTCAGTAAGCAGCACACGTAAGGCACACCTGGCCTCCGAGCATCGTCTTCTGTTTTACTCTTTTACATGGGATCCGAAGCAAAGCCACACATGCAGCACTCACCTGTCTGACCAGCAGACATTCAGCATGTGTGTCGGCTCCCTCTGGCACAGTGGACTTCAGTGTTCTCCTCTCCACAGGAAGAGTGGACACCTACAATAACACAAACACACAGAGAGCGTCAGAACAGAGTTTCAGTGCAGCAACAGGCCGGTGAAGCGAAAGCAAATGTAATGTAGCATGCAAGACATGACAGCTCATTGACAAGACATTGAGTTCCTGGAAGCAATCCATTATTGATGTATTTTCACCTACTATATGAACTATGCATAAATGTCACACCATTTCACGCACACAAGTAAAAAAATCAACGGTAACACTTTAGTATAGAGAACAATTCTCACTATGAACTAGTTGCTTATTAACATGCCTATTATTAACATATTGGCTGTTTATTAGTACTTATAAAGCACATATTCTACATCCCTAATCCTACCCAATACCTACATTTAACAACTACCTAACTAACTATTAATAAGTTGGCAGCAAATAAGGAGTTTATTGAGTTAATGGTTTGTTAATTGTGAGAACTGGACTTTAAAATAAAGTGTGAGCAAAGCTAGAATATGTCAGAACGTCATAAACTTACGGGATATAAAAATATGCAGAAATGTTACTCCGTTTGAGCGTTACTGAACTCAGTAAACTGAAGTAGTATCCAGATGGAGTAAACCTTGCAAACTATTTGTTTTTTTTCTAGAGTAAAGTCCCTTCTGATGCCAGAACCGTTGAAATCTCTTCAGTGCGTCGCTCTCAATGGACATGCTCTTCAGATGGTTTAGTCCTTCTTGCACCACAGTTTGTTCTTCACCGAGGAGAGCTTTAAAAATAATCATGTTTTCCAAAGGGTAATGTTAAATAAAGCCATTGGGAAATGCAGTGTTCAAATTCCACCTCATTTCAGGATTTACTAAAGAAAAATGAGCGATAAAAGGCATAGACGTACTTATTTTTGCAGCCTACCTTATTGCATAACGTATGGATTTGTAGGAGTTTCCTTTTCAGACAACATTTATGAGAGGAGAGTATTTAAAGAATCACGTACGGTGATTTACCAAGGTTTGCAGTAGTCAGCATTTGCACCATTACTTAGGGCCCCCAAAAAGCATGTTTAACCCGTGTTGTTAGCAGATTGCACAGGCATCTGACTATCAGCTCTACGCTAATTTGCTCTGCTCTTGGCAGATTGCGTTGGTCATTATGGAACTGATCTGCATCTGTGCTCTTTAATTTGCACATCGTCAGTAAAACACCCACAGACGTTTCCACTTCCATCTGCACCTGAACAAATACTAATTTGTTCTCACTCGGCAAGCATTTCACACCTCTCTCTAGTATGAGACGTTATATTCATTAAGGTTTTTTTTTTATTCATCCATTATTTTCCTTTATTCTGGCATTGCTTGCCAGAGCCAGAGTTAGGTCCATTTTCATCCCGGGAGTTTAATCAGAGATGCTCTTATTGTGAAGAGACACCAACTCCAGCAACTCTACCACTGAAGAAAGTGTAATGACCAACTTGGATCACAAGCGTCTCGATAACCAATCACACGACAGCCTTGATGATGAAGCTGTATGACAGTCAATCACAAGGCTCGCTTGTCGGAGTAGGAATATTCACACGTACATTATGCATGAGTCCGAGCGTATAAATTAGACATCTAAATCAGAGAAACCTTTTACAAGAGAACAAAACATCAACATAGAGCACATCACATATGGTCAACACGGTTGCTCAAACGTGGATGCACGAGCACAAGAACCAATAAGGTTCGCTCGAGTGTGTGACATACACCGCGGGAGCTTCAGCGTTTACCATATGTGATGCACTCTATGCATGTGTGCTATCAGCTCTACGCTAATTTGCTCTGCTCTTGGCAGATTGCGTTGGTCATTATGGAACTGATCTGCATCTGTGCTCTTTAATTTGCACATCGTCAGTAAAACACCCACAGACGTTTCCACTTCCATCTGCACCTGAACAAATACTAATTTGTTCTCACTCGGCAAGCATTTCACACCTCTCTCTAGTATGAGACGTTATATTCATTAAGGTTTTTTTTTTTTTATTCATCCATTATTTTCCTTTATTCTGGCATTGCTTGCCAGAGCCAGAGTTAGGTCCATTTTCGTCCCGGGAGTTTAATCAGAGATGCTCTTATTGTGAAGAGACACCAACTCCAGCGACTCTACCACTGAAGAAAGTGTAATGACCAACTTGGATCACAAGCGTCTCGATAACCAATCACACGACAGCCTTGATGATGAAGCTGTATGACAGTCAATCACAAGGCTCGCTTGTCAGAGTAGGAATATTCACACGTACATTATGCATGAGTCCGAGCGTATAAATTAGACATCTAAATCAGAGAAACCTTTTACAAGAGAACAAAACATCAACATAGAGCACATCACATATGGTCAACACGGTTGCTCAAACGTGGATGCACGAGCACAAGAACCGATAAGGTTCGCTCGAGTGTGTGACATACACCGCGGGAGCTTCAGCGTTTACCATATGTGATGCACTCTATGCATGTGTGTATCAAAATTAATGAAATAAATAACTAAAAAATACAGATGAAAAAACTTTTGATGGTGAAGCTTTAAGTGGATTCAAATCCACTTCAGAATAAAGCTACAAGCAAGGAAAACATCCTTCACATCAGGTGGATTTCTCAGCCAAATCTGAATCAGGAGCCGGACTCACGAAAATCTTCTTAAGAAATAAGTTAAGAAATGTCTTAAGATAAATTCCACGAAGTTCGTAAGAATGTTCTTAAGTGCAATTCTTGAAAAATTCTTAATACGTTCTCAAATATACGGTGGCCGCGAGGTGACATGGTCGGTTCACTTAGTTTTGTCGTGGCCACAAGATATTAATTTGAGAGAACGTAGCACTGTCAAGAGCATGCCAAACCAACAGGTGGCGATATCAGAAGCCTGAAAAAGTCTCCAGTAGGCGGAGATAACAGCACAGGCTCCGACGTCACAAGCCAAAAACTCCGGTTTCGCCGTCTACACGATAACACTGCAACCAGAGTTTTTGAAAATCTTCACCCTGGCAGGCGTTTTCAAAAATCCTCAACTCTTCTCCCCTGCCATTTCATGTCACATCTCTACTGTCTCTTTCTAATAAATCCAAGAAAGGCCATAAAACAATCTTTAAAAAAAAGTGTAGAAGCATCTCATAGATTGTCTATAGCGTGGGTGTCCAAACCGGTTCCTGGAGGATCACTGTCCTGCAGAGTTTAGCTCCAACCCTAATTAAACACACCTGAAAGCGAACCAAAGATCTTCAGGGGCAAGTTCAAGCTCAAACCGGTGTGCACCGTTTTGCTACGGTTTCCGGTTTGAACGACATGTTTCCTGGAAACGGTGTGCAACGGTATTTGAGATGCGTTTTCTCTTGTTTGGTGGGTGTGTCAAACATGTCAGCCCAATCAGCAGCAGCATGTGTATATAAACCACACGGTATTAAAGAGACAGCTCTCACAATGTAATTAACATCCATATCAATTCACAGGAGCAAGTATATTGTTTGCACATGTTTATTTACATTAATAATAAGGGCACAAGTATAGATCTGGAACTTCTTTAAGTCTGTCTAAATATCATTTAGTAATTGCAATGTCTTCTGGTCCATATCCTTTCCTCAGGAAGGTGTGCTAGACACTGATGCATTTAACATATAAATATTATACATATTTATATATTTTGCTATTGTATTGTGGAGTGATACTTTCATAAACGTTTCTATAGTCCTCTGTTTATATAATGGTAAATACTTCAATATCATAGCACAAAAACAGTGATCAGCAATAATGATAAACCTAATACTCACAATAAAAATAATAAGGTCATATAGATCCTAACACAGTCTCGGAGGTAAGAAGTGGATTATCCTTCACCTGAAATGTTTGTCTTTTCATCCTGAAATGCGAGGCACATGTTGGATCACAATAATTAGGAACCACAGTTTCCACAAATCCCTTCACTGGATTGGGATGTTCTCTTTTATTCTGGAGGGCAAGGGCAATGACTGTAACATCGAGTGTATTTTGCAGTATTAAACACGTATTTATACCGATTTCATCAGGCTTCGAAAATTCTTCAAAAAGAACAAACAGAATGGCCTTCTCAGCTGCCATAGTTGCAACTCTTGTCTCATCAGAACAGTGTGTTCAACATACCACCCTTTCCGTTTAAAAAACGTTTTGCACCGTTTTGTCGGGGCTGAACGCAGCCCAGGATTACTAGAAACTTTCAGGCAAGTGTGTTGGGAGTTAAAATCTGCAGGATGTTGGCCCTCCAGGAGCAGGATTGGACACTCGTGGTCTATAGTAGGGGTCACCAAACTCGGTCCTGAAGGGCCGGTGCCCTGCAGAGTTTAGCTCCAACCATAATCAAACTCTTACTGTGTATGCTTGAATCTTCCAGGCAGGTGTGTTGAGGCAAGTTGCAGCTAAACTCTGCAGGACACCGGCCCTCCAGGACTAAGTTTGGTGAGCCCTGGTTTATAGGAATAGGAAACACCTGAACAAAATTTCAAGTGTCATAGCAAAGGTTCTGAATACTTCCATTAATGTGACATTGTATTGTTTTCTTTAAAAACAAATGCAAGGATATTACTAATCTGGATTTTGATTTGTCATTATGGTGATGTGGAAAAAAGCCATTGAAAGCAGTGGTGTTTAACCCTGCTCCTGGAGCCCCCATTGCACATTTTGCATGTCTCCTTAATCAAACACACCTGATTCAACTCATTATCTCATTAAGATGAGAATCCAAAACCTGAAACTGGTGTGTGAGACAAAGGAGACATTCAAAAAGTGCCGTGACAATCAAATAAAGACTTTTGGAAGGAACTGTGTATTGTGATTTCACTTCTGGTCACTTGTAATCACTTCTCACCCACACGTTTTGGTCAAGCTCGAAAACTGAAGCTATTCAACCCTGTTGCCAAAATTATGAATGATCAAACAGCTTTTTTGTCCTTTGTGGTCAAAAATAAATACGATCATCAGACTCAAAAGTGTAGCCACTTTCATCTCAAACGTAATGAAACACAAAGCCTGATGATTAATGAGCCAGAATTACAAAATACAGAAGCAGATATTTGTGTATTTTATTATTTTATTTGGTTAGTTTACAGTTAGTTTTGCTTATGGATAATAGGTTGGACTGAAAACAACTTCCGTTCAAGTCGAGATCACAAGAAAATTATGTTGTGATCATGAGAAAGTAACTCGTGTCGAGATCACAAGAAAATAACAAGTAACTTTTCTTATGTCGATCGAGATCATGAGAAAATTAAGTTATGATAATGAGCAAACAACTTTTGTTAAAAAAAGTTGTGATCACAAGAAAACAAGAAATACAAATAATAATAATAGGGCTTCTGTACATGGTACAGTCATTAAGTTTACATGTATATGTGACCCTGGACCACAAAACCAGTCATAAGTGTCAATTTTTTGAAATTTGAAAGTTGCTTTTTATTGACAAGAAATCTAATTCCTTGTCAAATTAGAATGATATCTTAGTTTTACCTGCCATATATGTGACCCTGGACTACAAAACCAGTCATAAGGGTCAATTTCTCGAAATTGAGAGTTGTATATCATCCGAAAGCTGAATAAATAAGCTTTCCATTGATGTATGGTTTGTTAGAATAGGACAATATTTGGTTGAGATACAACTATTTGAAAATCTGGAATCTGAGGGTGCAAAAAAATCTAAATATTGAGAAAATCATCTTTAAAGTTGTTCAAATGAAGTTCTTAGCAATGCATATTACTAATCAAAAATTAAGTTTTGATATATTTACAGTAGGTAAATTTACAAAATATCTTCATGGAGCATGATCTTTACTTAATATCCTAATGATTTTTTGGCATAAAAGAAACATTTATAATTTTGACCCATACAATGTATTGTTGGCTATTGCTACAAAAACAGTGGTGTGAAGTCTGGCAGTAATCAGGCCTGGGTGTGGCTAGTGAAATTTAACTCAGCTTTCTAAAATAATGTGCTTAATTGCAGTTCTTTCATGATTTAACAGGAGGGGGCAATTAATTTTTCACGTAGGGCCACGTAGGTTTGGACCGCTTTTTTCCCTTAATAAATGAAATCATCATTTAAAAACTGCATTTTGTATTTACTTGCATTATCTTTGTGTAATATTTCAATTTGTTTGATGATCTGAAACATTAAAGTGTGACAAACATGCAAAAAAA